TTCGGAAGTCGACATCTTGCTATAGCGAAAAGATCAGATGACGAGATCTCGGATCTCATCATGTCGACATCCTGTAGAAGAGATGATCAGATGACAAGATCCTGGATCTCATCATGTCGACATCTTTTAGAAGAGATGATCAGATGACAAGATCCCGGATCTCATCATGTCGACATCCTGTAGAAGAGATGATCAGATGACAAGATCCTGGATCTCATCATGTCGACATCTTTTAGAATAGATGATCAGATGACAAGATCCCGGATCTCATCATGTCGACATCTTTTAGAATAGATGATCAGATGAGAAGATCCCGGATCTCATCATGTCGACATCCTGTAGAAGAGATGATCAGATGACAAGATCCCGGATCTCATCATGTCGACATCTTTTAGAATAGATGATCAGATGAGAAGATCCCGGATCTCATCATGTCGACATCCTTTAGAAGAGAACATATAATATATATATATAGCGCTTAACACTTACTTTATTAACGGAGTGAACGGCTGTATAGAACACAACCAAGTCGTACATGAAATTCTGAAACATGCTCGATGTAAACACAAAACATTGCACATCACATTCTTCGACCTGGCCGACGCGTTTGGCAGCGTGAGTCATCAGCTGATCTCTACGTCATTAAGCCGTTACGCAATACCTCAACCAGTAGCCCGTTACATTGATGTTCTCTACTCAAGACTAAATGGCAGAGTATGCGGTCCGGGGTGGCAATCGGAACGCTTTGCTTTCAGGAAAGGGGTTTTTCAGGGAGACCCTCTATCCCCAATTGTATTTCTCATGTGCTTCAACCCAATTATTGAATATCTTGAAACCCAGAAGCAGCAATATGGCTACGATTTCGCCGGCCAGAAATTAATAACTACCCCGTATGCCGACGACTTTAACCTGATAACTGGAAATAAAAGGTATCATCAAAAACTTGTTCAAGAAGTAGATAAACTTCTCAGTAGTATGGGCTTAACAGTCAAAGCTAAGAAGTGTCGTTCCTTATCAATTTCAGGCGGTAAACCAACAGTTATTGATTTTTGCTTAGCTAGGGAACAAATTGCATCTGTACAAAATAATCCTATTAAATTTCTCGGATCTCAAATAACTTTCAGGATGAAGACTTCAGAAACATATGATTTCATCAGAGATAAGGTTGATAGTACCCTCACGAATATAGATAGTGTAAACATAAAAAACGAGTATAAGCTAAGAATTCTTAATGATTATGCTCTCTCCTCTATGAGATATATGTTAACTGTACATGACCTTCATGCAACTCACCTTGGACAACTAGATACACTTCTAGACAAATACATTAAAAAATGGATGGGCATCCCCCGGTGTGGTGCCAATATTGCTGTAGTTCATGCCCCAGCGGGGCTTAATATTCCCACTATCTCTGAACTCTACCAAACATGTCATTGCCTTGCCTACAGTAGATCGAAAGTTAAAGGCGACGAAATGGTAGTTCACGCCCTAGATCAACAACTGGCCAGAGAGGGAAATTGGACCAGAAAGTCATCTACAATTCAGGTTGCACACCAAATTCATCAAACCAGTTTACAAACGAATTGGAAAGATACTAAAAAATCAGTCAAAATGAACCTGAAAGAGGAAAGCAGGAAAAAGTGGAAAAATGAAATAGAACCTCTCCTAGTCCAAGGTGAATTCATGAAGGTACTAGAAATAGAAAACTGTGACTTGTCCTGGAAGTCCATCATCTTCAATCTACCACAAGGAGTTATGAAATTTGCAATAAATGCAGCGATTGATAGTCTGCCGAGTAATAAAAACTTGTATAGATGGGGTAAGCGAATAAATGACTTGTGTAGTTTATGTCAAGCCAAAGGTACTTTGCATCACGTATTGAATAATTGTCAGGAAATGTTAAATAGATACACGTGGCGCCACAATAACATTGTACATAATCTGCTAAAGACCATCAAACAGAACGGCCTTGATAGTGATCACCAAGTATATGCTGACGTGGAAGGGGAGACAATCAGTGGAGGGACGGTTCCCCCAACCATTGTTCCAACACAACAAAGACCTGATTTATGTTTCATTAATTTTAGAAAAAAGGAAATACTAGTATTTGAGTTGACAATTCCATTTGAAACCAACATTCAACAGGCTCACCAAAGAAAGCTTGACAGGTACGCCGGACTAACACATGATATCTCAGAAGCCGGCTGGACTCCCAAATTAATGTGTATAGAGATAGGTTCCCGAGGTTTGATAACTCCTGACAACAAGAAAAGACTTATAGATATGTTGAAAACATGTAAATGCAAAGTAAGGTATCCACAACTGAGAAATGAAATCTTGAAAACCGTACTGTTTGGGTCGTATGTTATTTTTCACAGCCGGTCGGAACGCACCTGGCAATCACAACATTACTTGGGAGTGTAAGTGGTTAAACTAATTTGTATGACTTGCAATAGCGAGGCCTCTTTCTCTCCCTCTCCCTCTTTCTCTCTCTCTTCCTTTCCCTCTTTCTTTCTTTCTCTCTCTTCCCCTCTCTCTCTCTCTCTCTCTCTCTCTTTCTCCCCCTCTCTCTATGGGGACAGGTTCTCGTGGTGTGATTACGCATGCTACTATATTGACAGATATGATGACGGTACCTAAATGTAAGGTGTGGCATAATTATGTAATTGGGAAAAGTAATATTTCAAAAGTATATTCTGTGGGTTTATATTGTTTTTTACAGCCTATCTGAGCTCACTTGGCATTGCTAACTAAGAAAGTAATAATTATTTTTGTTTTTGTTATTTTGTTAGGAATTATTAATGTTTTCATTTAAAACACTGACGTTATGATGTTCTCTTTTCCGTTTTGTTTTTGTGTATTGTAATTGTTCAACCCTGCATGAGATGCATTTAATGTAATACAAATCTCTGTCCTGGGTTTTATGTCACGTCTTTATTATTATGTTATATGTATACCTTCCTGAATAAAGATGAATAAACAACAATATATAGCGCTTAACACTTACTTTATCAGAAGTCTCTATAATTGCTCAAGAAAAATATAGGATTTCTCATTTTGTTTGCTTGTTTGTTTCTTTGCTTTTTTTCTCACTTATCTTGTTATGGCTGTATGTCTTCTTTTTGATAATTCGATTTATTGATTTACTCTTATGTTTTACTTTGTTTATGTTATGTTTTGTCTTTATTTATGTATATGTTCCGGACCCCACGGAAGACCAGCTTTCCCATGTTGGTTTAGCTGAATGTGGGCAATCCCCCGTATATTTTGTTTTTTATGCTTTTTATACGGAAATAAATACTACTACTACTACTACAATAATGCAGCATAATTAGACTGGCTTTAGCAGAGCAGCTGTTACGCGCTCTGCGTTTCAAGGAATAAATTCCTGCCAGGTACAGATTTACCTCACCTGGGCTGAGTGCAGCACAATATGGATGAATTTCTTGCTGGAGGAAACAGTGGCGTAACCACGGGGGGCACCTCCCCCCCCCCCCCCCCGTCGGCTGGCCAAAAAAAAAAAAAAAAAAAAAAGGGGGGGGGGGGGGGGTGGGAGAAAAGAAAGGGGGAAAACAAGGAAAAGCAGTGGCGTAACTACGGGGGCACGGGGGGCATGTGCCCCCCAATCCGGGATCTTGTCATCTGATCATCTCTTCAAAAGGATGTCAACATGATGAGATCCGGGATCTTTTCAACTGATCATCTCTTCTGAAGAATGTCGACATGATGAGATTCGGGATCTTGTTATCTGATCATCTCTTCTAAAAGATGTCGACGTGATGAGATCCGGGATCTTGTCATCTGACCATTTCTTCTACAGGATGTCGACATGATGAGATCCGGGATCTTGTCATCTGATCATCTCTTCTAAATGATGTCGACATGATGAGATCCGTGATCTTGTCATCTGATCATCTCTTCTAAAAGATGTCGACATGATGAGATCTGGGATCTTGTCATCTGATCTTTTCTCCTACAGGATGCCGACATGATGAGATCCGGGATCTTGTCATCTGATCATCTCTTCTACAGGATGTCGACATGATGAGATCCGAGATCTCGTCATCTGATCTTTTCGCTAGCAAGATGTCGACTTCCGAAGATAATTATCTCAACATCTAGGTGCATGGGTGTCGATCCGTAACTGATACCTATTCATCAGGGGGGGATGATCTATTCATTCATCCCCCCCTGATGAATAGGTATTACGTAAGGATCGACACCCATGTCTAGGTGGCACTTTTAAGCTTCCATTAAGGGTGTAGGCCTACGTATGAACGATTTTTTTGCAAGTAGCGCGCGGACGTACAGGTTATGACGCTGATCACGAATAAATCACTCCAGTAAAGCGCAGAGAGTCAATGCTATTAAATGCGTATTGACCTTTAGCACTGCTCTACGTGTTAATGGGCAGCATTTAAATACATGAATAGTCAATACACTCACAAACACACAAATGCACACAATCATACCAATGCGTTTGATCGGCAAGTTTGACAGTAGACTCACAATTTGAATTTTTTAATTATTCTGTTATATATCGATACCGGAGTGTTGGCTCAGTCAGTAGAGCGTCCGCCTCACAACCGGGAGGTCGTGGGTTCGAACCCCGGCCGCGTCATACCAAAAGACGTTAAAAGATGGGAGTTGTTGCTACCTTGTTTGGCGTTCAACAATAAGGGATAGAGCAACGTCGATCTGGCGCTGCTCAGTGGCTGCCGGGCTCACGATCAATTGGGCAAAAAGAATTTCCGTTTCGGTTTAATAAAATTTGGAGTGGACTATTAGATCTAGGCTATTATTATTATTATTATTATTATTATAAGTTAAAAAACACTGTAGTTTACTGCCTTATGGGTGTCATCAATTGTCTCTAAAGCACTGATTTTGAGTTAAATCAGTTGAGTTTTGTACAGTGGTGTTTTAAATGTTGAGAATCAATAGCACAGCTTTTAATACACAGCCAGGATAGTACAGCTAGCTAGCTAGCTATGTGTGGTATGAATAGGTGACCGTTTGACTTGATTGACGTTTTCGAGAAACGGGCCCCTGGTAACGGTCGCAAACGGTAGATATAATTGCCTCTTATGAAATAGCTCGCGATCGAGAGTTCAAAAACAGTGATATATCGTTGAAAGAATTTACAGTGTGATAATTGTGTACCTTTCAGCTGTTATATGATTATAAAGAAGTTCATTTTGATTGCGATGTTCCTACGTCTATTTTCAGGTGTCGTCCCACCTGTTTATATTTGTGTTGCCTGGCTTGTTGAACAATGCGTTTGAGACTGAGAAGTGAGAGACTGAGAGTAGGGAGGCCGGGCGCGTATTTTTTATTTACACGGCAGCGAGGGGAATTTCTCAATTAATTCCAATGAAACCGCTCGCGACGAGTCTAGACTAGATTCTAGACCGAATCGGAGTACGAGTACAGCAGTGCAGTGTTATTAGGGAATGTAGATCTAGGTCTAGTACTAGTAGAGAATGCAATAAACAGTGACGGCAGTATGACATTATGTGCAACACCATGGCACAGAGAAATCGAGAGCGTGAACATAATATACATGCCCTCGGCCACGTACCAACAACAAGGAGTACATCGACAACACAAGTCATATTCAGTACAGGCACTACAGACTAGACTCTCCGCCAGCGGTTTCATTGGAATTAATTGAGTTTTTCCCCTCGCTGCCATGTAAATAAAAAATACGCGGGCGTAAGGCTTCTGCGTCTACGATTTGTGTGCTCGTCATCCAAGTCAGATTTGGGCTAGATCTAAACAAAGTAGGGACTAGGGTAAATAATAAATATAAAAAAACATAAATTTAACACTAACAGTAACAGTAGACCTAGATCTAGAGGAGAGGTAGAGGTAGACTAGTGCCAGTGGCTCCGCCGGTGTGTGGCCGATCCGCGAGAACTGCCTATTCTATTTTTATGCAAATAGATCTAGGTCTAGAATCTACTCACAGTCCCAGAATACTTCAATACCCTCAATGTAGAGTTCATATAATTACTTGCTAAATAGAATGCACAAATAACCCAACTGACCCACAGCGTGATCAGCATTGCCCACCTTTTGAAATGCTTCGAGTTCCCCAGTGTGCGGCCAGGGGAATAGATCAAACAAAAAAATATATTCAAATCAATAATATGCGATTGAAACCTACCGTTGATTCCCCGGTAAGTTCTGCTTTGCCGAAAACGTCTGTAGCATAAGTACTTATTGGTACAGAGTTTGGAGGTCGTTTTAGTTGATTCTACAGTAGACTGAAATCATAATACTCATGAAGAAATCAAGTTACCGGTACTTGGTTAAGTCACAATGAGACGGACAATGAACTCAACAAGTCTCGTTCACTAACCTTTTGTGACATAACCTGTGTGAAGTGCATTCACTAATGTACACGCAAACATTATTTGTTTATTAACACATGGCACTGGAGAAATAATTTACTATTTAAAAGTTCATCTTCTTGCTCGATGCCATGAGTGTACATAACTGTTCTTCTTTTTCTTTTTTCCTTTAGGACTGTGTTTTATGGAGAAACCTGTACCAAATCTCCAATGAGTAGAAAGGGTTCATCAGCTAGCGTGAGTGCAAAGACTGTTAAGAGCAAACACAATGAGACAGGGAAGGATCCCATAACGGCAGAAATCAAGGCAGCATACATAGCTGTTCTCAATCACATAGACAAGGACATCTCTTCAAAAGATGAGCTGGAAAAAGGTATGACTGCCCTGGATGGATTGTGAATTGTTTGTTGTGCTTGTAAGAGAGAGACACATGCAAACCATATATCATTATGCTGTACAAATTCAGAGTTTTTTTCCCTATTCATTCATATCATGATGAACAGTTCAAAGAAGATCATTTGATGCCTTGCCTTTTTTTTAAACAAAAGCTGTTAGATATGTTAGGGTTGCGTAGTTGAATTAGCTAAACTGATCCTATCTGGTGTAAAAGTTCGAAATTTTATTTCAATGTATATTTTAGATTATAAGTATCGGCTTGCATGGTGATGTAGGTATACAGTAGCATACCTGCCAAACCTCCCGAATAATCCGGAATATCCTGTTTTTCTGGATTTTTAGGACCCCAAAATGCGGGATATCCCGGATCTCAATATTTTTTTGTTTTTTTTGTTTTTTGCGTGCGATGAAGTGCTGCATGATTGAGCAGCGAATTTGTATTCGCTTTTTTGCACAGATTTACCACGTATTGCCAGTTACATTACCGCTGCATGTGCGAATGCCTGTTAAGGGTACATACCGTGCTAAAAATTCTTAATTCTCATTTTCAAATGTTGGCAGGTATGCAGTAGGCTTGCGGAAAAAAAGGACTCAAAAGAAAGAAAGATTACCTAGAGTCCTTTTCAGGACTCTCCAATCCTCCCCCTCTCTCACATGGTGCAACCTCAAGCCTACTGCAAATGTATATCTTCCACATTAATTCATTCTGCTTCTTTTTTTGTGGACATGTTCCATTTCCTTTTCTTGTTCGTTTCTCTCTTTCTACTCCTGTCCTCTTTCTCTCAACCCCTTTTTTCTCCTTTTCTTCTTCTTCCTCTCTTGCTCCCTCTTTCTCTCTCTTTATTTTCTTTTTCTCTCCTTTTCTTCTTTTTCTCCATCTTTCTCTTCTATTTCAAACAGTCCTCCAGCAAGCTGGAAGAAACCCTACACAGAAGACCATTGATAAATACTGGACCAAGAATACAAGTAAGTTCTCCTCGGGCATGTATTCTAAACAATCTTAATTCTTTGATTTTCTTCATGCCAGTAATAGCAAATGTAAGCCATTAGTCTGTTCATTCATACCTCCAACAAGCAGTCGGATGTAATTTTCACCCTCAAGTAACACCCATGACGTAAGCTGACTAGCATTCCTAAAACAAGTTTTTTTAATTTTACATTCCATTTGTCTCTTTGCTTTTCGATGATCCTTTATGACAGTTCCTTTGTACAAATTTTCTTGAAAATTCTTACTAGTGATTTCCCTTTAATTTTCAGAGAAGTTAACATACCAGGAGGTATCTGAGATCATCGAGGAGTTGAAACCAACTACAGAAGACGATCTACTCAAAGCTTTCAAGAAGATAGATGTCAATGGAGATGGATTCATTACACAGAGAGAACTTTCTAGGATTCTCACACAGGTTTGTACTATTCTCATCAGTAAGGTGCATGCATTGACCTCACACCAATAGAGCTCGGCTCCAAACCTGTGAGGAATAACACATGTCCATTAGCTTGATTCGTTTCTATTGCAGTCTGTTAGGTTTAGGTGGTAAATTGAATAGTCTATGAAAGATTTATTATCAATTTAACTCTTAAAGGTACTATGTCCCATTTGCAGGCCAAAAATTCCAACAGCATTTGAAAGACAATACTAATTTAGAACTTCCCTAAAAAAAGGGGGGCTTGAAAATGTCTTTCAGTGGGAAAATAACGATTATTAGTTGTCAAATCGAGCTGTAGAGCCAGTAAGTAATAGTCTGATTTTTAGACCATTGTACTGAATGGTCGTACGTTCTATTCAATTGGGTCAATTTTGGCCATTACAAGAAGTGGGTTATTGATGTAGACAAATGCTCATGTACCCTTTACAGCTCATTTTGTGTATGTTATTACCAAAGAGGAAACAAAGCCAGTCAGTCACTCAATAGTGTCTGACAGTGAAGTCTAGCAAGTAAAAGGGTTTCCTTGCATAATTTGAATATTAGAACACTGCTAACGTTTAAATTTCACAGGTAAGATATTGTTTTTGTTTTACTGGTTCAAAAAATCAATCTACTGCAGGATAAAAAAATCCAGAATGAATTATAGCCATGTTCTCTCAACATACGATGCCCATACCAGAGCTCAAGATTAGCTTTAAATTAAAATATCGTTTTATATAACATTTTATGTGCATACCAGTACTCATTTTTAGTGTATCTATTTAAAACTACTTTGCATACTGCATGGAGTATGTCTAAACATTTTGGCTAAAATATCTGACTTATGACAATATCTTCTCTATTGTTAATATCTGTTGAACACGTTATTCTAAACAGGTAATTCCAAGGAAAACTTTCTTTGTATTTTGTAAGAACATGGTAGTTTGAAAAGTATGAATACAATTGCCTTTCTACTTATAATATATAATTGTATAAGAAGACGGACATTTTGATTTTAATAATATACAATTTGTTTGCATTAATTTTGCATTTTTGTCCTTCAATTTCAGAGAGGTGATAGAATGAGTGAGAAGGAAGTAGATGCTATGATTGCAGAAGCTGATTCAGATGGTGACAAGAAATTAAATTATAAAGAAGTAAGTCTGCCTCCAAATCTAATAACCAGAGCTTTAAATGTATTTCAAGAGAAAATTGTATGACTAGTGAATGGTTAGTACTCATAGTACTATTTAACTAGCGCCATGAGCGTCCCTGGACGGTGTGTGCGCTCTATAAGTTTACACTATTATTATTATTATTATTATTATTATTATTAACAACAAAAATTGGTAATGGATTTCTTTGACTCCTGACAACAGTATATGAGAATCAAATGCTATCCTCATGTAGCAGAGTTGATGTTGGAGGATATGGATAGTTTTAATGAATAAGATTATTTTTACTTGTTGAAGACTCTTTCAACTAATTAGCAAAGATAGCAGTCCTTTTTTCTTTTTCTGTTTTTGTTGTGAGTACATATTTTGTGAGGTAGAAAGTAGTGATATTTTGCACATGATGTTTACAACCAACCACTGTGATAATAATTTGGTTACCTTCCCAAACAGTTTTGTTGTATGGTTATGTCTACAACAAGCCATTGTAATAATAATTTGGTTACCTTCCCAAACAGTTTTGTTGTATGGTTATGTCTACAACAAGCTGTTGTAATAATAATTTGGTTACCTTCCCAAACAGTTTTGTTGTATGGTTATGTCTACAACAAGCCATTGTAATAATAATTTGGTTACCTTCCCAAACAGTTTTGTTGTATGGTTATGTCTACAACCAACCACTGTAATAATAATTTGGTTACATTCCCAAACAGTTTTGTTGTATGGTTATGTCTACAACAAGCCATTGTAATAATAATTTGGTTACCTTCCCAAACAGTTTTGTTGTATGGTTATGTCTACAACAAGCCATTGTAATAATAATTTGGTTACCTTCCCAAACAGTCTTGTTGTATGGTTATGTCTACAACAAGCCATTGTAATAATAATTTGGTTACCTTCCCAAACAGTTTTGTTGTATGGTTATGTCTACAACAAGCCATTGTAGTAATAATTTGGTTACCTTCCCAAACAGTTTTGTTGTATGGTTATGTCTACAACCAACCACTGTAATAATAATTTGGTTACCTTCCCAAACAGTTTTGTTGTATGGTTATGTCTACAACAAGCCGTTGTCAAGAGAGTAGTCTGAAACGATTAGAGAGGAAAGAGAGAAAACAGAAGAGAGACCTCAAGAAGAGTAAGTATACAGATAATGTTATATGTCTCTTAAAGTCATAAGGCATCTGAAATTCTTCTTTTTAAGCCACTATATTATTTTATATACAGTATGTAATATTCTGGATCAATTCAAATTGGCAATGGGACATTTTTTTTTTTTTTTATTTTATTTTTTTTACTCTGTTCAGTTTTTCATGATGGAACTGTGGTGTTGTAACCATCTTGTCTTATGATATTAGGGGCAACAGACAGACATTGATCACAGTACATATCAACTGTTTGTCTTGATATTGTATATCTGATCAATAATAATAATATTGATATTGTCAAAAATGTAAATTCAAGTGCTATAAAGGTATGTTTATTTTCTCTAAATACTCATTTTATGTTGTATGTATCATGTCACATGTACATTTTATCTATTATTCTCTGTGTAAAATGCATGTCAACAAAACAAATTTCCTTTTAGACCAATACAATTTGAATTTGAATTTGTTTCACTGGTTTCTGTTGGTGATTCTTTTCATTCCATCTTTTATCAGTGATAGTTGGGAGGAGGATGATCAGACCACCCCCTTTCCTGCAACAATATTGTATCAAGCCATATTATGTTCATGAAAATGTATGATGAAAAAAAGAAAAAAGAAAAAAGATGCAGAAACCAATAAATCAAATCAAATCAAATCAAATCAAATCAAATAAGTAGCCATGCATGTAAATGCCAATGCTGTTAATATTTTGAAGTTAAAGATGAAATCTTGTAGAACACCACAACTTTATGGTAATTCAATACAAATTAACATAATTACATATTTGATACATACATTACTTCTCTTATCCCAACTCTATAAAGATCCATCGGGCAGTAAGAAGAAAGACAAGATGGGCGTTGAGATGAGCCTCCCACCGATCAGTAAACAGCAACCTTCAATAAAGGAACCTAGTACCCTAACAGATTGGTACCATACCCATACTAAAGGCTGCTTTCATCTCGATGATGAACAGAAGATTATCTCCCATCAGTATGTCCTACAGGTTGATGTGACGACGAAGCTCTGGTTGACTGTTAAGCCTATCAATGTAGGAGTAGTCAAAGGTAACATCTGTAGATATGTACTGATTGTGTTTTTGATTTACATCAAATACTTCACTGTCTAGCCTATGAAATTAGGAGTACTCAAAGGTAATGTCTAACAATATGCAGCCTTTTTTGTGCATTTTTTTTTGTATTAGGCTTTGAATAACATGAAGAGTGTACCTGAGAGAAAGCATTCGATTCTAGTTTTTGAAATTGTTTATTTCATTGTTAATAAATCTGTTATGTATTTGTTTGTTTTCAGTTTTCTGTGTTTGTTTTATGACTTTCAAATGTAGATATAAACAAAGGTAATTTGTGAAGTGATCCAAGAGGCATAATAATGATGAATAATACTTGGTGCTTTTATATCACTGCTGTAGCATCTCTGTGTGCTGAGGAAGAAAGATATAAAAGGGAGAAATAGGTGATGTAAATGCCCAGCTGTAACTTTATCAAAATGCTGTTTAAACAAGTATGTTTTACAGAGAGTTTTCTTAGAGAGAGATAATGTTGACAGTGGATGGGCAGCATAAGTAAATGACAACTCCTTCTACAACTTGGTCTGAACAACTGGACATTTCAAGAAGTTTTTATGATCTGATCTCAGATTGCATGAGGGTACATAAAGGTCTATAACAGTTTTATTTCCAAGATATTTCATTGCTTATTGATGTTAATGAATTTTTTTTTACATGTAGATTATTTCTTTCTTCTTCTTCTTTTTCTAAATTATTTATCCAGCCTCTACTAAAGTTCCTAAGACGGATGTCAATGTATTCATTGTGAAACAGAATGAACATGGTCTGCTGGGAGATGTTGTATCCTTCACCAATGTCAAGAACAAAGAGGTATCTAATGAGGCTACAAAGTGTACTTATCACCCCCAAATAGTTTGTTCTCTATGTTAGAGGTTCCATATTGCTATACTATTAATAATATGAGCTTCAAAAAGTACTTCTATGTAAAGATATTGCAAACGTAACTATCCTCTGAATGATAAAGGAAGGAACTTGACTCAAGTATGCACTTACATAGAATAGGGCCTGCAGGGAATCCAAGTTATACTTAGCTCCGAGTTCAGGGTATTATATTATTCTTTATTTTCTTAGTTTTCCTTGTTCTTTACCCTATGGAATGCTGGCAGTTCATTGTTTATTCACTTAGTTGACCAAAGCCTGGAAATACACCTGTGTTTATAGTTTAATCTAAAGTTCTCATGAAAGTTGATATAAATTCTAGAAATAGATTGATGAACTTGGCATTCAATAGGAACCTGTAATACCTTGTCTCCTGGTTAAAGAAATGAAGTAAGGAGCCCTCATTAATACATGTAGATTTATGACAAATTTGTTCTATGTCTGATCATGAACATTCTGTTATCCTTTCTTTCCCAGCTTTTCCTTTTAAAATCAAATTGTTTTTTCTTCTTCATGTTAGCATTATGGACTATGCAAGTAATGTACATCAGTTTATAATGTATAGCCAGTGCTTATAACATTGATGCATGAAGATAGCATAATCAAACATAAAATCCTATGACTTTGATTTTCCTTCATTGTCTTCCATTTGAATGGACATCCTGTACATGTGTGTGATTGAAGGATACCAATTATACTGGGAATGAAATAACTGTGTGATATAATTTACTTCCGTCAGAAATACTGTGTCCAATGTGAGCTGCCAGCTGGTTCATATCGTCTCATTCCCATGACAACAGGATGTCATTTTAAGCCCAGGACCAGGACAATCAAAGAGAAGGCTAAACTGATCCAGCCCAAAGGAGATGAAGAGTGTGAACTCACCAAAGAATTTAAGTGAGTCTTACTGTGGATATATATTTCTTCTTGTTCTAGTATGAAAGAGCTTTGTCTACTAAGTAAGGTTTACTGTAGATATATCTCTTCTTGTTCTAGTGTGAAAGGGCTTTGTCTACTAAGTAAGGTTTACTGTAGATATATCTCTTCTTGTTCTAGTGTGAAAGGGCTTTGTCTACTAAGTAAGGTTTACTGTGGATATATCTCTTCTTGTTCTAATATGAAAGGGCTTTGTCTACTAAGTAAGGTTTACTGTGGATATATATCTCTTCTTGTTCTAGTATGAAAGGGCTTTGTCTACTAAGTAAGGTTTACTGTAGATATATCTCTTCATGTTCTAGTATGAAAGGGCTTTGTTTACTATAGTAAGGTTTACTGTGGATATAACTCTTCTTGTTCTTGTGTGTAAGGGCTTTGTCTACTAAGTAAGTCTTACTTTAGACATATCTCTTCTTGTTCTAGTGTGAAAGGGCTTTGTCTGCTAAGTAAGGTTTACTGTGGATATATCTCTTCTTGTTCTAGTGTGAAAGGGCTTTGTTTACTAAGTAAGTCTTACTGTGGACATATCTCTTCTTGTTCTCGTGATCGCGTTATCTGAAGAACCGATTGATGGATTCCTGCCAAACTTTGGTCATGTATGTATCTTGCAGAGCCGATGAACTGATTAGATTTTGGGGTCACGAGGTCAAAGGTCAAAGGTCACAGGGCTCATTATGTATGCAAAAACAGCTCGTGATCGCGTTATCCAAAGAACCGATTGATGGATTCCTGCCAAATTTTGGTCATGTATGTATCTTGCAGAGCCGATGAACTGATTAGATTTTGGGGTCACGAGGTCAAAGGTCAAAGGTCACAGGGCTCATTATGTATGCAAAAAACTGCTCGTGATCGCGTTATCTCAAGAACCGATTGAAGGATTCCTGCCAAACTTAGGTCATGTATGTTACTTGCAAAGCCAATGAACTGATTAGATTTTGGGGTCATGAGGTCAAGGTCAAAGGTCATGCGGCTCCTTATGTATGCAAAAATAGCTTGTGATCGCATTATCATTAGAACAGATTGATGGATTCCTGCCAAACTTAGATCATGTATGCATCTTGCAGAGCCAATGAACTGAGTAGATTCTTTGGTCATGAGGTCAAAGGTCAAAGGTCATGGGCTCATTATGTATGCAAAAATAGCATGTGAACGCATTCTCATTAGAACTGACAGATGGATTACTATTTAACTCGGGACATCTTGCAGAGCCAATGAACTGAGTAGATGTTAGGGTCATGAGGTCAAAGATCAAAGGGTCATATATGTATATGAGAAATTGCTTGTAATCACAATATTCTGAGAACCTGTTAATGGATTACAATTAAACTTGAATTTGAAAAATTTCTTCTGTTTTGGTTTGTAAATTGCTCTATGACGGAGGCATCATTTCGACTGCGCGCAGTCGAAGTTCCATCTAGTTTTTTTTTTTTGGGGGGGGGGTGGGGGGGGGGGTGTTGCTTAAGCCAAATTAAGCTTGTTTTATCATATGCCGAGATATGAGAGTTCACGTATTGCATGCGTTGAAGGGCTGCATGATTGAGCAGTGAATTTGTATTCGCTTTTTTGCAAAGATTTACCACGTATTGCCAGTTACACTGCCGCTGCATATGCGAACGCCTGTTAAGGGTACAGATTTCTTATTTTCAAAGACATACCATGCTAAAAATTCTTAATTTTTATTTTCAAATGTTGGCAGGTATGTTGTTATAGTGTGAAAGGGCTTTGTCTACTAAGTAAGGCTAACTGTGCACATATCTCTTCTTGTTCTAGTGTAAAAGGGCTTTGTCTACTAAGTAAGGCTTACAGGGGACATATCTCTTCTTGTTCTAGTTTGAAAGGCCTTTGTCTACTAAGTAAGTCTTACTGTGGATATATCTCTTCTTGTTCTAGTGTGAAAGGGCTTTGTCTGCTAAGTAAGTCTTACTGTGGATACATATCTCTTCTTGTTCTAGTGTGAAAGAGGTTTGGTCTACTAAGTAAGTCTTACCGTTGATACATATCTCTTCTTGTTCTAGTGTGAAAGGGGTTTGTCTACTAAGAAAGTCTTACTGTGGATACATATCTCTTCTTGTTCTAGTGTGAAAGGGGTTTGTCTACTAAGTAAGTCTTACTGTGGATACATATCTCTTCTTGTTCTGGTGTGAAAGAGGTTTGGTCTACTTAGTAAGTCTTACTGTGGATACATATCTCTTCTTGTTCTAGTGTGAAAGGGGTTTGTCTACTAAGTAAGTCTTACTGTGGATACATATCTCTTCTTCTAGTGTGAAAGGGGTTTGTCTACTAAGTAAGTCTTTCTGTGGATATATCTCTTCTTGTTCTAGTGTGAAAGGGCTTTGTCTGCTTACTAGATTCACAATCAATGTGTCCATCACATCAAAAATTGCAAAGGGCCTTGAATTATCTAACCCTTGTCCTTGTCTAAAATAAGACCCATGTTGTAGAGAATTTATTTATTCAACAAGGGGACACTAAGGGGACATTAATATCTCTGGTCTAGAAACATTCCCACTCATGATTTCTGCCAAAACGTAACTTCAAAGAAGTCCTCTCAAAGGCATTGTTTGCTACCTGGTTTTATCCTTACCAGAACATCTGAATAGCATCTAGACAGCAATGGTTCTCTATGTAGGAATGAATTCAACATGTTTCAATGTTATCTTATGATTTTATCTGTGATGTTCAATATCTTTACAGGAATGCTTTGAAATAGTATCTATGAGATGTTAGATCTAAACAGCAATGGTTCTCTATGTAGGAATGAATTCAACATGTTTCAATGTTATCTTATGATTTTATCTGTGTTGTTCCATATCTTTACAGGAATGCTTTGAATAGTATCTACGAGATGGTAGATCTAGACAGCAATGGTTCTCTATGTAGGAATGAATTCAACATGTTTCAGCTAAGGACCGGTGGTGAATCTGTTGATGATGATGCCTGGGAGGTGGTGGAAGAGAACTTTGAACTCAAGAAAGGAGAACTTACAAGAAAAGGTTAGATCTTGGTCATTGTCTTGATTTCTCTTCTCTCAGGAAGGCTTTAAAGCCCCACTGTCCTACTTGTAGCTACTTGCTCCCTCTATATAGAAAACTTCCCCAATCGGTGCATGTTGGTCCCCCATGATCCTCTTTTTCTTATGTTAGTTGAGAGCTGAGTTAATGAGATAGCCACCTGTCAGTGACCTCGCTGTGTGGTCTAATCCCTTCTGGCCCAGTAATATTGACGGTCTTTAAAAGTGGCCTTCCATGACCTCCTGTGTATGTCATACATTGTAAATGATCGCTCTTTGTCCATAATTTATTCATATTTAGAAATGAAGACATAATAGACAATAAGTGTTCAATTTGAGGTAATGTAGATGTACTGTATTTTGACTAATACATCAATCTGTTACTTTTCCCTCTTATTTTGTTTTCCAGGATTCTTAGATCTGAATGAGATGGAAGCCAATGATGGTTTTTCTGAAGGAGGAGAGGTCGATGACCTTTGGGTCACACTCGGTTCTATGGGATTCGCTGATGATCTGACACTCGACGAGGTAAGTCATGATCACAGATAAAACACATGCATGGGTAGAGTGAGTGATTTGGCTCTGGAAAACTTCATGTGAACTCTGGAAATATGATAAATAACTATGGTTAGGAAAAAAAGTAAGGCACATAAAAATTGCTGAAAAAAAAATTCTCTTTCACAATTGCAAATTCAAAAGTATATCTTCGAACAAAAACTGTTAGTTGGGTTGTGATAAAATGTTAGAATAGACCAACAATTTTCATTGCGATTATGAATAGATTCAATATGCACCGTATAGTCGGGGCCCAGGTACATCAAGAACCAGTCATCTATTGAAGTGTGCTGGTCTGAATGACAAGTATCATTTTTGTTTTTCACCCCTGATCTAAGGCATGTCCATTCCTAGTGGATATCTACACTGAGCATTGTCCAGCTGTGATCAGAGCTCAACCACTACAGCGTGGTGGACCAACGTTACAGAAGATCATCTGTCAATCGGTCATTCATGCTGCAGGCTTCACTAGGGTCAAGATGATAGGACAGGTCAAGCTTCATACATACATGGGAGATGGAAGGGTGACATTCGTCATGGAAAACACTGTAAGATACTAATTATGCTCTTTCTTGATACGTCAGATACTTGTCTTTATGTAGCCTAATTGTACCTGCCACTGTTGCACAGTTATTGTCAATGGGGTGATAAAACCTTATAACTCGGTCGGTTTTATGTATATTTCATGATTTTAGCTAAGAACGGATTAGTCAAGAACTGATATGATGTTCTTATAAATTCATGTAACACATTTCTGCAAAAAAACAAATTTTACAAGTGACCTGTATAAAAAGGGCCAGTACTAGTTTTATGTTCATTTGTTTTGTTTTGTGCTCATGAAGATGCAATGTGTTTTGTGCTCATGAAGATGCAATGTACAATGTTACCAAGGCCCCGTCTTTATATAGAGTTGATCCAAATCAATCATACCTTTGCAGTCTCTCATGTACATTGATATCAATCGCAACTGTTTGTAGGACGGGCCAGGTTTCTTGAACCCAACAAACATGGCCTATGACTCCAAACCACCATTATGTTGCAAATCTGACAAGGAATGAATGGGGAGGGGGGGGGGGGGGGGCTGATTGTTGAAATATAGTAAGCACGTACATCCAACAATTTCTTGTTCCATGTCCTCTGATACTTGTATTTTCATCTATATGATTTTCACAGGGTTCCAAGAAATGTGGTATGAAGCTGGATTGCAGTAAGAGTGAGAACTGTCTCATCAATCATGATGCAATGCTTCAGAATGTACAGTGCCATGCTGGAGCTTCTACGGTGAGAACACATCATGATATTATGGAGTGGTCATTGCTGGAGGAGCAAGAGTGAAATAATTCACAAATGCTCTTCTGGGAGCCTTCAAGGGGCAAACAAAAACACCAGAGCTTACCGTGCATTGACAAACATAGATCGGTCAGAAAATGATACTTGTCTACCAAGGCAAGAACTCCCAAAGATCATGGAGAATAGAACTGAATGGAAAAGAAAACTAAACTTGTCAAATTAGTGCTATTACGCTCAAACTAGTACTTGTAGTAGTTATGGTCAAGAGGTAAAATGGATATTATTGAAATGACAAGATTATTGCATAGAGTCAAACCTGTAATACAGTCAAATCTGTCTCTAAAGGCAGTTCTGAAACATGTTTCTTCTTGGAGGGAGATAGTATGACCAATTAAAAGATTCCTTTAGAGTCAATGTATAATAGTTTGAATAGCAGTTCATATACAGGTTAGCTGCAACTGAATGTTTGGTGTAAAATCCATGTTTTATAAGGAGAGACCACTTATTAGTTGTGCATTCAGATGTCATTCCTTATTGGTTTTTATGGATGCAACTTTTTCCATTTGAACTATGTGATGATGGTAATATTTTCTTAAAGGAAACCTCACCCCAAGAAATAACTTGACTTATTCTGAGAGATTATTTGTGTTCTTGCCCATTCATCTAAAAGATTCTTCACCAAAGTGTAAGAGAGAGGCATAAAGCAAGAATAATGTACAGTTTCTCAGCACGACATGGGCATCGCCAATTTCATGACGTACTATTTGAAGTCATTTTATTTGTTTGGTGATGAAGCATTTCATTCACCTGCTGTCACCCTTTGTATTACAATTGCTAGAATGCAAATTGCATAAATAAGTTGGTGCTCTTCTGGGCTGAAGGTTTCTCATAGTCATATATGAAATAATTTTGTCAATTGCTATTTTTGAGCCATCTTCCTCATTGAAAAGCAAAGGTTTTGTTATTGATTTAAAAAATCTTTCTAACTAAAGCTTGGTGCATGATACATGTACAACTTCAACATCACATTTTCAAGAAAATGGCTGCGCCCATGTCATGCTAAAAGGCATCATGCCAAAAATATATTCATTTATTTATTTATTGTACATTTTTGTAAGGAATATTATACATCAAAGGGCAGGAATAGATCTCTTTTTTCAGAATACCTACACTCATTATTTGGGTCGAGGTTGCCTTTCTTGTATTTCAATATCATTAAATCAGTCATGATTTGCCATCTTATATACCGGTAATCTATTTTGATGTGATGTGATGTGATAATGGGGGTAAAGGAATTTCAATTTCAATTTCAACATATTTTATTTTCTTCTACTTTCAGGTTGGTCTTCATCTAGTTCCTAAGGATGAAGATAAAGAATGGATAATCAACTGCCAAGAAACATTAATGACCTCATGACCTCACTAGCCGTTTCATCGTCATTCTAGTACGGTAGATGTTTGTATATATCAGAACCTCTCATCCTCTCTTTCTATCTCTCCTGGCTCAAAATCCTTTGTCGAGCCCTGTCTTATAAAGAGTCGCAATCGATTTGATTTGATCGCAACTTGATTTGATCGCAACTCAATCACAACTGTATACTTGCAGTAAGAGGTAAGAGATTATAAATTTGTGTTGCATTAGAGGATTAGTTTTTTTTAAAATTCTTGTTACTTGGCCTAAAGAAAAATATTTCCCTGTGCATATATTTTGTTAAAATCAATGAATTTAAGGAATTAATCACTAGATACTTATTTTGGATTTAGATGAAGAAGAAATAAAATGCCATAAAGTACTGAATAGCAAGAGAGCTCTCCCTGGTGCTCCCCTCCCCCTCCACCAAAAAAAATTAAATGTATTCATATACCATAAATATAAAAATTAATTTGCTGTAAACAATTATGCCGACCTTCAGAGAACATTTAGTCAAGCAGAATGATGTAATTGTCTTTTGAACAAAGCAACTAATGGATGTAGTTATTTTAATGAAAAATCATTTTTATTGAGAGGTTAAGGAAAGATTTATGATAAATTTACTCACTATTCAAACACCTTCATTTTCAGTTGAAATGCAAATAATACTACATAATTTTATTCTGCTTGTAAGTGTCGGCTTGCATGGTGATGTAGATATACAGTAGGTTTGCGGGTGCACCATGTGAGAGAGAGAGAGAGGGTTGAGGAGTCCTGAAAAGGACTCTGACTCGGTAATCTTTCTTGGGGGTGTGTAGTCCTGAAAAGGACTGTTGTTATCTTTCTTAGCATATAGTTCTAAGGAGAACTATAGCGCTTGGAGAGGATGAGTGGCTCGAAAGAAAGATTACCAAGTCAGAGTCCTTTTCAGGACTCCTCGACCCCCTCTCTCTCTCTCACATGGTGCACCCGCAAACCTACTGTATAATTTATTCTGTTTACCTAACATTGCTATTGGAGCTGTTTTATTGAGTCAGTTGGGTACATGGCATAACAATCTGGATAGCTAACAGGGCACCAGGAGTGTGACAAACATGAACACTACACAAGAAGCCCTTATTAGTATTAAGCCAAGAAAAGGAAATGGAGAATTTCTCTGAAATACACAGATAACATCTGGGTATTCTCAATCTGTGGTGATAATGTTTATCTCTCTGAGATTGTATACATGTATGTACTCACTCACTTGATTGAATTCACCTGCTGTCTCTGCATGTGCATTGTATTCATTCAATTCTTTGATAAGTCTTGATAACTGGTGGTTTCTTTCATTTCAAACTTGAAGGAGACAGAGTTAATTCATTTAAATCTGATAAAAGAAATGGCAATCATGTGCAGACACATCAATTTGTTTTTGTCATTTAGATGTAAACAAGCTACACTGTACATGTATGAGTAATACCCCTTTCAAATTGGCCTGATTTTCATTGTACGCATCCGGACGCATCCGATGAAATGGCCACTATGAATGCTACAGAGGAGAAAAAGCCGATTAAATAGCCGATGAAAAGAAGAGGAATAGCCGATTAAATTCTCCTGCTCAAGAGCAGGAGAAATTCTCATTCTATCGGTGTGACATGGATGAGGCAGCCACTGTGAATGCGTTCGGGAGAAAACACCGATTAAAATGGTCGAAGGTCGCAGTGTACGCGCGCTTTATCATAACCAGCTGTGTTTGTTGACTTATGGTTGAACTTGCTGCATGCCAGCTAGATGGGGCGCGGGCTTAATAATTACATAATAATTCTTCACCTCCTGCAAGGGGTCGCTACAGCGAGTGAATTTCACCGGCAGTATGAAAGCGACAGGGGGGGGGGGGGGGACGGCAGTTTCACCTTTGTTTACATATGGGAAATTCAATCGGTATTTTCATCGGTGTGACTCCAGGTTTGAAAGCAGTTAGAAGTTAGAAGTTAGAAGTTAGAAAGATAGAAGCCAGTTTGAAAGCAGTATTAGTGTTCCTATTTTTTTTTGTTGTAACTTCTGTCCCCCCCCCCTTCTTTTTACACTAATTTTTAAATCTCATGTACTATAGATGGTGCCAAAGAAAGTCAGGCAATGAACCTTGAACTAGGCCTCTAAAATAGCAGAACAATTATCATCATTTAAATTGATTCCTCAGTTTTTATGTCTTTATTTTTGGTCTAGTATTTTGCTTGATGTGCAGTGTATATTTATGAGGATTCTTAAATTCATATAATTACTAAAAACGTATAATTGATGAAAAGTCTAATGTACATGTTAAAGGTAAAGACCAGTTTTGGAAACGCCCCCCTTTAAAAAAAAAAAAATGGAAGCTCTTATCACCAATCATGTAAAAGAATATGTTTTGACTAATAAGTGATGATACAAATTTTACTGGGAAACCGCCTACTCATTAATATATTTGGTAAATTATTATATCTATTTGGACCTGATAGATATCGCACACGTGTCGCCTAGTCCCATATACATCTTTCTATGTACAGTGCTTGGAACTTTACCTAGACTGGACCAAATTTCTTATCATTTTGATGATTCCAAAACCTTGCAGTACACACCAATACTTGTATATACTAGATGATCAACCTTTTCTGATCGATTCCACAATGTTTCTTTCAAAATGAATCGCATGACCGGAACTGGTCTTTAACTTTAATGAACGTGGCAAGTGATACCTCATGGAATTTATTTGGACTACATTAGTAAGGGTGTACTAATATTACTTTCCTGTGTATTTATATGATATGTCCATTTTTCTTATCTGTACTGTGTCTGTTCATGGTTATAATGTGATACATTTGTTGCCCTATATTTTTTAGAACAACTGGCCTAAACTTTTTGTACCGGGTATCTCCTTTATGATCAACAAGGGAAAAAAATTCCCTAAATATGACATGTCTTTCTTCTCAATTTATCTTACCCCTTTTTCCCTCTTTGTTCTTTTTGTTCTCATCATTATGACCTTCTGATCCTATTCTGCCAAGTTTCAAGCATTCCCTAGAGTATGTTAGAGTGTTGCTGTACATGTTTTTATATCCAAAACAATTTAGTAGGGCAATGCTGTCTGGCAATTTGATGCTCTTGTAAAAAATGATTGTTTTTCTCACCAGTCTTTTGTCAATTTTGTTCTATTATGATTGCTTGTATGAATCATTGTTTGGCTTCATTTAAGAATGTGCCATTTAATCATAATATATATAGGTGTTTGTTTGTTTATCTAGTGTACTATCATGTGTGATTGCATAATATATCTGTCCATGTATTCATAAAGTTTATGATTATTCATTAAAAACATTAACAAACATGAAGGAAATAGACCAGGACAGAACCAGAATAATCATGTTTATAAGTGATTTTCAGTTGCTTTTTGTAGAGTATTAGTCCAAGCTTGTTTCTAGTTGATTTGCATTATGGCATTATGGCATTTTGTGTGAAAATAAACATTCCTCAAACATGGTTTTGATAACAACAATTGATAGAAATATAGATGAACTTGATTTGTTAAAGCTAGGATAACACTAGCCAATTATAGGGAATATTATTGTTTTTAATATAAACTATAAAAGTAGCAGTTGTCGAAATACATTCTTTTTTTGAACTCTCCATATTCAGTCAATGTAGGCATTTATGGAAGTTTCAACACTTGATCTGCATGGAGGCATACATTTTGTAGAATTCGAACAGACTGAAATCATTTTTCATATTAGAAAGAAATAATAAATGAATAACAATAGTAATTATCAAGTGTGTTCACGTTTGCCATGTTTGTATGTATATTTCAGACATCCTGCATTCTAGTATTGGGAGCTTAAACAATTTATTGAAAACAATATCTGATAGGAACCACTGTGCAAATCATCGGAAATGTTTCACTTGTAATCGGAAAACATTCCTTTTCTTTTCAGATATAGAAATTTTTCAGTGTTTTTATGATATTGTCCATTTTTAAGTGCAAGAAAAGGTAGTGCTGACCGTTAAAAAAAAGTATTTTCATTCAAAGCTTTATGTGCAGTTTGCTACAAGATGACTGTAAGCACAGACATTTTCCCCCTTGTAATATGATTACATGATGTCACACCATTATACCTTCAGATGTCTGATAGGTTTGTATTCACCTGAGATTATATGTGATTACATTGAGGAAGAGGGCTTGGAGTAATTCAATTTCAATTTATATGAATTTATTTTATTTTCACATTCTGATAAAAATCACAATAACAAACATTTACATTACAAAGTCAATTAAAAAAATAACACAACAGAACAGAAGTATCAAAATATGGGGGGACAAACAAAGACCAAAGGCCTATCAAAGGCTTGTATCCAAACTATATAAATAATTAAATATACATTTAAGTGGGTACAACAGGAAGGCAGAAAAAACATTGAAAGGTGTTTGGGTATCGAGGGGAGTTGATGCACGGTGTGTGTGTGTGTGTGCGTTATGTATGAGACAGAAAGAGAGAGGGTGATAGAGAATGAGAGAGAGAGAGAGAGAGAGGAGGAAGATGGTGAAAGAGAATGAGAAAGAGAAAGAGAACGAAGGAGAGAAAGAAGAGGGTGAAAGAGAATGAGAGAGGGAGAGAGACTGAGAAACAGGAGGAAGACTAAGAGAATGAGAGAGAGGAGAGGAGGATGAGGGTGAAAGAGAATGAGGGAGAGGAAGAAGAGAATGAGAATGGGAAAGAGAACGAAGAAGAGGGTGAAAGAGAATGAGAGAGGGAGAGAGACTGAGAAACAGGAGGAAGACTAAGAGAATGAGAGAGAGGAGAGGAGGATGAGGGTGAAAGAGAATGGGGGAGAGGAAGAAGAGAATGAGAGAGGGAGAGAGAACGAGGGAGAGAAAGAAGAGGGTGAAAGAGAAAGAGAGAGAAAGAGAACGAAGGAGAGAAAGAAGAGGGTGAAAGAGAATGAGAGAGGGAGAGAGACTGAGAAACAGGAGGAAGACTAAGAGAATGAGAGAGAGGAGAGGAGGATGAGGGTGAAAGAGAATGGGGGAGAGGAAGAAGAGAATGAGAGAGGGAGAGAGAACGAGGGAGAGAAAGAAGAGGGTGAAAGAGAAAGAGAAAGAGAACGAGGGTGAGAAAGAAGAGGGTGAAAGAGAAAGAGAGAGAGAGAGAACGAGGGAGAGAAAGAAGAGGGTGAAAGAGAATGAGAGAGGGAGAGAGACTGAGAAACAGGAGGAAGACTAAGAGAATGAGAGAGAGGAGAGGAGGATGAGGGTGAAAGAGAATGAGGGAGAGGAAGAAGAGAATGAGAAAGGGAAAGAGACTGGGAGAGACATGAGGAAGAGGGTAAAAGAGAATGCGAGAGAGAAAAGAAAAAAAGAGTGTAATGTAAGAGAGAGAGAGGGGGGGGGGGGTGGGGAATATTTGTTTCCCCCTTCTACAGGGT